GCCATATTCATGCTCGGTTTAAGAGCCGAATAAATTCTGTTGTTTTTAAAAAAAAGAAGCCATATTGTTTTTTTCTGAGCCGGGACTTGAAGAAAAGACGCAGTCTGAATGTGCAGTTAGTTTATTCTGTCAGGAGCAAACCGGTGAGAACGTTACTTACATTACGGGGCAGAAAAACGCTCCCAGACGGGGTTCGACATTAAAGAAGAAAAAAGGGGGTTTTCCTTCAAAACTCCCACAAATTACCTCTAAATGAAATCGTGGCTCTGCTGGAGGGAAAATAACCTGCAGGATGATTAAAAAAAAGTGCGTCTTCAAGCTGGAATTTTGGCATGAAAGCAGGCAAAAACTCGTAGTGCCTCTTTATTTCCCCCCCTTTTTATAAGCAGCGTTCTCGTTTTAAATCGCCAAATTCGATGTTTAACCGATCGGACGGAAGCCGGAAAGAGACTTCGTTGGGAATTTCGGCCGGCTGAAAAACGGGAAAAACGGGAAAACGGGGGCAGACGGGCAGTGTTTTCATGACATAATCAGGCTTTATTTCTGGAGTCTCTGAAGTTTAAAATCATTGGAACGTCTTTGATGTTTCTTTGATGTGTCTTTGATGTTTTAGCTCCATGCATCCGTCCCTTTTGTCTCTTAGTCCGTCCTAACCCTAACCCAACATAGCCCCGCCCCCCTCAGTCTTCCAGGGCCAGTGTGTTGAGCTCCTGGTCCAGCTCCTCCAGGTCTTCTCCCGTGAAAAGGTTTTCATCCACCGGTATCTCCTCTTCCTCCTCCTCTTCATCCTCCTCTTCCTCGTCCCCCCCTCCGTCCTCTGGCCCAGGCAGGATCCCGTTGGCGTCCGCTCCCCCGCAGGCGCCATTAAGCTGCTCTTCTATAAGTCGGAGCAGGAAAAAAGTTTCTCTAAATCTCTCCGATTTAAGGCGGACCGGTGCCAAGACGTCGGAAAACTGCCAAACTCTTTTCTTACCGGCGTCCCGTTTCGTCTTGGGCTTTGCGGCGGGGAAGCGCTCCGAGGACGCCACCGTGATGCCCGTGTGGTCCACCTCCTGGGGCACGAAGCGGGATAAGTCGATGTCCTGGACGTTTGCCGCGTCCACCTTAAACGCAGAAAACACAAACCAACGCCCGGTTCAGGGATCGAAATTCCCAAACATTCCCAAACATTCCCACGTTTATCCGGAGCCTTTTCCAGCTCCCCTGGCATCCCTCCGACTGCCCCGGTGGTCCTGTCCAAACTGGAAAATCACCCGGGATCAGGTGGAAGTTAGTCAAGGTGACTGGGGTTTTAGGTTTATTGTTAAACTGGGATTAAAGGCGTTAAAAAAAACACCTTTAATCGGAGTTAAAGAGCCGCTGAGCGGCCTGAGCCCTCATTAGCTTATATGGACAAATGCTCTCTGGCTCCCGAGAGGTGTCGGATACCGAAAGGTTTCTGGGAACGTCGAGGATAAACGCGCCGTTCGTCTGCTCGTTTTGGCAGCTGTGCCTAAAACACGACACATTTCCTCCTTAAAACAAAACCCAGAGAGCTTTAACAGAAGCCCTTTTATTTCTGTTCATCCAATTTTAATATTCAAATTCTTCTTGAGCTCATATTTTCCATGTGAAACTGTTCCAGGACCTGCCTGGAGTCTGTCCTAGGGTTTTTACGATAATTTAATTTTCAACTCGATATTGATACTCAGGACAATATTTGATACTAGATACCATTTTCGATACCACAAGGATAAAAACAAAGACCCCAAAATTGTACCCCAAAAACTGAATTTTGACAGGTTAGTGTCTTTGGTTTCAAACTGACCTGTTACTGATGTTAATGTGGCCCACATTAATGACCCTAACCCTAACCCTTAACCCTAAACCTAACCCTAACCCTAACCCTAAACCTAACCCTAACCCTCCATAATTGTGAGAAATAAATATTTTTTTGGTTAAACTTGTTTGGACTTATTGTACAAACCTATTTAACCTCCACTATTTTAACATAATATTATGGATAGAGTTTAATTCAGTATTTGCCAGATTCCTTTCACTATTTTTAAATCAACGTCTATATTGCCATGAAGCAATTAGGATTTTCTTGCCTGGGATTTTCCTATTGGTGACCTAATCAAAATGGCTGACTTGGATGTGGGGGGGGGTGGATATCCATCCTTGGCTTCCTGCAGACTTGATTAATGTTGGCGTGTTATTGTTAGCCATTAGCCGCAGCTAGCAATTCAAGGCATGTTAATGATCATAAACAACGTAAATAAATAAATAAATCAGAGAGAAGGGGTATTGTATCCGCATACAACGTTTAAGTATCCGTACTTTTTTGAATATCGATACCAGGGCTGCTGAAAGTCATTTTGAATTTTTGTTTTTGTTTGTACCTCTCTACTTGGTGACAACTAGCTTGCTTGACGTTACCATGACAACATGACTTCCGTTAACTTCTGTTGATTGGGCCTCAAAAATAATTCAATAAAAATCCAAATACATGTAAAAATAAAATAAAAAAGGTCAATATCATCTCCCAAAATATTCATAATAAACTTAAAAATTGTGCTATTTTAATATGTTTTTTTTAAATCTCCCTCCAGCCACTAGGGGGTGCTGCATGTTGGCGTGTTATTATTAGCCATTAGCCGCAGCTAGCAATTCAAGGCTAACGTCACGTTAATGATCATAAACAACGTAAATAAATCAGAGAGAAGGGGTATTGGGGGGGTATCGATCCTTTTGAAAATGAGTATCGTATCCAGATATAACGTTTTAGTATCGATACTTTAGACCCCCCCCCCCCCCCCCCATTACCTCGGCCTCCTCCTCCTCCTCTGATTCGCTGGCGTATCGCGTGTCGTCGGCCTCGTCGTCGTCGTCGTCCACCAGTTCGGGCCGGAACTCAAACACCTCCCGCCC